AGCTTGGCTAGAACGTGTTCTCACAAGTGAAAAAGGAGAATAGGAGAATCTCAGCAGTCTTTGCCACTCAGGAAGACAATAACCTTAGGCCACCACCACCAACCACAGGACCTCGGCCGTCTTGAGCACAGTGGACCCCTATAGTCTGTGCTAACATTGACCTCAGCTGATGGAGCTGCATGGAGACTATTCTGTTGTGCTCTTTCAGGAATAAAAGGTACCTTCACAACCACATTTGGGGAAAGACTTTCCTTACCAAAGCCAGGCCATTTGTGACAACCTAAGTGAAATAAGCCAGACAGAGAAAGAAAATACTGTATGTTGTCACTTATATGTGGAATCTTCAAAAAAATAAAAGGCTGATTTTATAGGAACAAAGAATTGAATAGTGGCTGCAAGGAGCAGAGAGGAGGGAAATGATGTGACGGATGTCAAAGTGTACAAATTTGCATTTATAAGAAGAATAAGTTCTGAGGATCAAATGTATAGCATGGTGACTGTGGTTAATAACGGGGTATTTATCATTCAAAATTGCTGAGAGTAGATCTAAATCTTTCTCACTACACACACAAATAGTTAACTACGTGAGGTGAGGGATGTGTTCATTATTTTGATCTTGGTAATCGTTCCACAATGTATTTGTACATCAAATCGTCATGCTGTACACTTTAAATATATATGATTATATTTGTCAGTTATTCCTCATTCAAGTTAAAAAATCCAAACTCCAAAAATAACGTCTATTAGGTTTCAATAACGTTAAAATTTTTCAATAATTTTAGTGAATTACTTTATAGTTACATACACATTCAATAAAAAACTACACTTTGAGATAAAAATAAGAACACATTTTTCATCAGAGCGTTAATTAGAATCATCATACACACACTTTTTTAACTTTTTATTTTATATTGGAGTATAGTTGATTCAAAATGGTGTGCTAGTTTCAGGTGTACAGCAAAGTGATACAGTTATACATATATGTGGATCTATTCTTTTTCAAGTTCTTTTCCCATTTAGGTTGTTACATAATATTGAGCAGCATTCCCTGTGCTATACAGTAGGTCCTTGTTGGTTATGCATTTTTAAATACAGCAGTGTGTACATGTCAATCTCAAACTCCCTAACTATCTCTCCCCTGCCACCCTTGCCCCTGGTAATCATACGTTTGTCCTCTAAGTCTATGAGTCTATTCCTGTTTTGTAAATAAGTTCATTTGTATCACTTTTTTTAGAGTCCACATATAAGCGATAACATACAATATTTGTCTTTCTCTATCTGACTTACTTCACTCAGTATGACAATCTCTAGGTCCATCCATGTTGCTGCAAATGGCATTATTTCATTCTTTTTAATGGCTGAGTAATATTCCATTGTATATATGTGCCACATCTTCTCTATCCACATATATTCATAAGGAAAAAATTCACTTTTGGCACACATATCATAAAATTACACTTTTAAATTTTTATGAAGAAATTATAACTAAAGGATACTTTTATGTTTTAAAAAAGCAGAATATGTATAATATATAATCTATATTAACATACATATGTTAATCACAAAGCAGATTATGCCTAATACAAAAGGAACTAAACAGAAATACAAAATATTTCAAAACATTGAGTGTGCTCCAAGTGATGGGATTTTAAGTGTTTTTTTTTTTTTGGCCTTATACATTTAGACATGTTTTGAAATTGTTCTATACTGAAAAAATAATTCTTCTGAAATTAAAAAAATAAGTATATGTAAAAGTAAAATAGAGGAGCAAAATGGAGGGTAGGTATTTCAGAGAATATCAACTCCAAATTGAATCAAGGAAGATAAAAAGTAACTCAAGTCCTGGGCAAATAACAATCCGCAGGGCCTCAATTCTTTCCTTAGTACAGAATGTTTACTGCTGCTGGCAGCCTTCCCTAATCAAAAGCCAGCTCTCAAACATTAATAAGGACACTGAATTTATCAGTATGTCTTGCAATTGTCAGCACATGCCATTATTTTTAAGATAAATTCACGTGCTTTAGCGGCAGGCATTGCTCCTTCAAAGATTATCTTCACTAAAAGCCATCAAATCTATTCAAAACTGAATAGATTCTCAGGAAACTACTTTCAGGGAAATAAAATACTTTGCTACTTATCTCAGGATTCAGCAAGTTATTGCCAAAAATATTTGTGGACTCATTTTAATAGGTTCATGGATGGATTCCTGTGGTCACAGACATTAGCTTCTACTCTCTACTGCCCTGACCTATCTATTTATGTATCCATGTACATACGTATGTATGTATGTATGTATTCATTCATTTATTTAACATATGTTTATACAATACCTAAAATGTGCACTGTTGATATAAAACTAAGCAAATGAGATGATATAAATGTAAGTTGTCATCAAGATGAGTGGATGAGTACATTATAGCAGAAATTTTTGGTTGCCTCTCCATTAACAATTAGATTTCTTTACTTCTAAAAAGAAGCAACATTTCACAGTAGAAGCTGAAAACACTAAAGTCTCACTTTTGCATAGGGTCATGCCCAAGTTTGGGGAGACTTCTCAAAAAATGTTCCTCCTTTACAAAAATTATGACACTCAAGGACAAGCGTCTCCCCCCGCACCCTTTTCTTTGACTTTGTACACAGGTATATAGCTCTTTAGACACTATCACTCTATAATGAGGAATCAAAGCTTAGAACAAGTCAGTTATGTGAGGATCATGATATGAAAAAGTCTGAAACACAAACAAACAAAAAACTCTGGGACCTGGTTGACATTGTTTAGCTACTGAATAAGTTAATTTAACTACTAAAATTGCCATACTTCTAGATCTCGTGTTATTGGAGTTAATAAAAATTAAACAGTGTTTTGGGGAGAGAATATGGGAAGACATCCTAATTTGTGCAACTTCATGGTCTATTCATACACAATTCACTTGATTTCATATAAAAGTGCTCTTCTCAAAGTGTCCTAAAATAACAAGGCTTACGAATAATGTCTCATTTTTTCAAATAATACAGATATGCAACAAATCTTAATTTTGGTAATTTCTGAAAGTTGATAAATTACTAATCTATATTTAACAACTGTCATATTACAAAGAAGTAAATCATGGAAAATTATTGGATCTCATTCTTTTCTCCCAACTTTTCTTTCTATAACTCTTCAATTTGAGAAATGAAATTCAAAAAATTTAAAAAGCCTCATATGATCTTCTATCTTTACATAAATCTCCCAGCCTAATACCTAAAAGTTATCAGCTCTAGGGAGCTTGGAATTCTCTTATTATATTCCTGATCTTATTAAGTTAACCAAATCAGAGAACTAGACATTTCTTTGCAAATATGAACACACACACACACACTAGGTTTTTTGTGTTTTTTTTTTTTGCCAATTTCAATTATTTGTTATTGATGACTGCAAAAAGCTAAGGCCAAGCTGAATGTAAAAGTTAAGATACCCTGAGCTTAAGAGTCTCAGTATGAAAGATTGAAGGTACACAGGCAAATATCTTGGATTTTATACTTTTATCTTATCTATTTATCACATGCAATGAGCAGTGCTGAGAGTCAGTAAGCATTAATGAGAATAAATTCAAAGTTTTCTTGGTGTGCTGGAGAATATCTTGTTATAGATGAGATTAAAGGAATGGCAGGAAGCATATTTATGAAAGACTAAATGGCAAAATGTGCCCAGATTCATGACTTGCATGGAATAAGGATTTAATAGATATTGGTTTACATAACAGGAACACCTTCCCATGATTCTAAGCCAAAAATAAATGTGTCAAATAAGAGAAGTCATTTCTTACTGTTTTAATCAGAAAAATTAAAGGATTTTCCAACCATTAGATAACACGAAGAATTTTCTGTACTTTAAACCTGATATTCATAGATTGGGATGATCATTGTAGTGAACACATTTTTGAAAAACAGATATTACGCACAAAGTAATTTGCACTTATTTATTAAACAAATTATTATTCCTACTACTAAGAGCCTAATACTCTATCACTCTACTGCATTTGGGAACGCAGATGGCACAATTAAAGGCACCTGCTTCTATCTCCTCTGCTCAACGGAGATAAAAGGAAATATCTCTATTAGTTTCTTCTTGCTACTATAACAAACTACCATGAACTAAGTGGCTTAAACAACAACACAATTTATTCTCTTTTTGTTCTGAAAGTCAGAAGTTTGAAATGAATTTTATGGAGCAAAATCAAGGTGTTGAAAGGGCTGTTTTTTCTGGAGGCTATAGGGGAAAAATCCTTTACATTGTCTTTCCGCCCCCAGCTTCCATGGTTACATAATCTTCTTTTTACTTAAGCAGTTCTGTCTTACTCCTATTAAAAACTTGTGCGATTATATTAGATAACTTGGGATAATCTTCCCATCTTCAGATCCTTAACTGAATCACCTCTTCAAATTCTCCTTTGCCATAAAATATAACATTCACGGGTTCCGGGGATTAGCAAGTGGATATATTTGGGAGGCCATTAGTCAGTCAACCATAACCATAGTCTGTGATAGATGTCTACCTATACATAGGCATTGATAGTCTTATAAAGTATCAATAACCAAAATCAATCAACCATGATTAAACATGAAGACTATAACAAGAAGATTTATATAGGCATCTCTGGAAGTCAAGAATGTAAGTCACCAGTGGACCTCATCTGTGGAAACTTGTTCAGTATATGTTCTCCTTAATGTAAATATTCTGAAAGACATGCCTCAATGTTGAATTAAAGTAATTGAAGCTTACAAAGGGACTTTAAACACTTTGGAATGAAGCCTGCCTTTGATTAAGAATGCACCTAGGAAACCATAACTGTATTTATCTCCACTAATTAAGTACGCAATAAAATGAACAAACCTTCAATTCAGTCAAATACAATTTAATTCTTGTGAAAATCTGGAAATTAAATTTAAGCTAAATGATATTTTAGATAGTTTAGGTATTGAGCTAGCCAGTTGGAGGGGGTAGGGAGGAAGATGCTTACCTTAAATAATAAATCCTTCTTCCCATAACGAAGCTCCTTCAGCTGGGCTTGGATTTTTTTTGACTGTAAAAAAAAAAAAAAAAGGATTAATGACTTAATTTCATTTATATTTTCAAACTTGAAGATTAAAATTCTTTTAAACTGCATAAGAATGAATTTTGCAGCCAAAGTAAAAAGAGCTCAACTAGTTTGGAAATGGTTTAGTCAGTTTGGGAAACTGTTTGGCAGTTTCTTATAAATATAAATTATACAGAAATTCTTTCTAGGTATTTACCTAAGAGAAATTATAATATATACATAAATGTTTACAGTATATTTATTCATAATAGTCAAAAGCTGGAAATATCCCACATGTCCATTAACTGATGAATAGTAAACAAATTATGGTACATCCATGAAATGAAATACCAAAATACGGTTAGGCGTTTCTTAAAATAAATTAAGTCTGAAACGTAACAATATAGATGTATTTCAAATGTATTAGAGTATGTGAAAGAATCCAGTCACAAAAAGCTATATTTTGTATAATACCATATATATGATATTCTAGAAAAGACAAAAGACTAGGGACATAAATCAGGTTGGTAGTTGACGTGGACTGGGGGTTGGTGGTAGAGATTATAAAATATCAAGTGGGAACTTTGTAGGTGATGAAAATATCCTCTATCCTGAATACTGATCAAACCCATTAAAGTATAGATGATGAATTCTATGTAAATTACATCTCAGTAAAATTCTATGTAAATTATATCTCAATAAAATTTAATTTTAAAAGTTGCTGGCCATAACAGTTACATGTAAAAAATGAAACTGAACATTTTCTAGCACCATATACAAAAGTAAACTCAAGATGGATTAAAGACATAAATATAAGAATGGATACTATAAAACTCCTAGAGCAAAACATAGGCAGGACATAAATCATTGTAATAATTTTTTGGATCCATCTCCTAAAGCAAAGGTAACAAAAGCAGAAATAAACAAATGAGACCTAATTAAACTTAAAAGCTTTTGCACAGCAAAGGAAACCAACCACAAAACTATAAGACAACCTATTGAATGGAAGAAGATATTTGCGAACGATATGACTGATAAGGGGTTAATATCCAACATATACAAATAGCTCATACAACTCAACATCAAACAAAAAAAAAAACAACCTTGTTAAAAAATGGGCAGAAGACTAATGAGAACCTACTGTATAGCACAGGGAACTCTACTCAATGCTGTGTGGTGACCTAATGGGAAGGAAATCTAAAAAAGCAGGGGTATGTGTATAACTGATTCACTTTGCTGTAGAGCAGAAAATAACACAACATTGTAAAGCAACTATACTCCAATAAAAAGTTTTTAAATAAAGGGCAGAATAATTGAATAGACCCTTTTCCAAAGAGGAAATGCAGATGGCCAACAGGCACGTGAAAAGATGCTCAACACTGCTAATCATCAAGGACATGCAAATCAAAACCAGAAAGAGATATCACCTCACACCTGTCTGAATGGCCATCATCAAAAAGTCTACAAATAACAAATGTTGGCAAGGATGTGGAGAAAAGAGAACCCTAGTACACTGTTGCTGGTATTTTAAGTTGGTGCAGCTACTACGGAAAACAATGTGGCGCTTACTCAAACAACTAAAAATAGAACTACCATATGACCCAGCAATCCCACTGTTGGGTATATATTTGAAGAAAATAAAAACACTAATTTAAAAAGATATATGCACTCCAATGTTCATAGCAGCATTACTTCAATAGCCAAGATATGGAAGCAACTTAAGTGTCCATCAACAGATGAATGGATAAAAAGAATGTGGTATAAATATATATAATGAAACATTATTCGGCCATAAAAAAGAATTAAATTTTGCCATTTGCAATATGGTGGATGGACCTAGAGGGTATTATGCTTAGTGAAATAAGTCAGACAGAGAAAGACAAATACTCTATGTTATCACATATGTGGAATCTAAAAAACAAAACAAATCTAAATAACAAACAGAAACAGACTCATAGATATAGAGAACAAAATAGCAGTTACCAATGGGGAGGAGGAGGTAGGGAAGGGCAAGACAGGTGTATGGGATTAAGAGTTACCAAATACCATGCATAAAATAAGTAAGCAAAAAGGATATATTATACAGAACAGGCAAATATAGCCATTATTTTGTAATAATTTTAAATGAAGTATAATCTATAAAAATATTGAATCCCTATGCTGCACACCTGAAACTAATATAATATTGGAAATCAACTATACCTCAATAAAAAACAAAAGAGGAGAGTAGAATAAATCAAGTACACCTTCAGTTTAGATGTAGGATTTAATACAGTATTAATTTCTTGGCTATTTTTTGAACTTAGCTTTAAAAACATGTATCTTGTAATAAAATGGTTGCCAGACTTTAATGTGCACAAGAATCACCTGGAGGGCTTCTGTTTTGGCTCAGCAGCCATGGCTCACCGGCCTAGCCGCTCTGCGGCATGTGGGACCTTCCCGGACCGGGGCACGAACCCGTGTCCCCTGCACTTGCAGGCAGACTCTCAACCACTGCACCACCAGGGAAGCCCCTGGAAGGCTTCCTAAAACACAGAATAAGTCAATGAAACTATTCTATACGATACTGTAAGGGTGGTTATATGTTATACGTTTGTCAAACTCTATAGAATGTAAACAACTAAGAATGAAACCTAAACTCAACTAGGGACTCTGGGTGATGATGATGTGTCAATGCAGTTTCATCGATTATAGCAGATTTACTGCTCTGGTGGAGGATGCTGCTAATGGGGGGCTGTGTGGAGGCAGGGAGTACCTGGGAGCTCTCCGAACTTTCAGCTCAATTTTGCTGTGAACCTAAAGCTTCTCTAAAAACAGAAAATCTATTTAAAAAACAAAAAATAGAGGAGGAGCTTCATGATGGCGGAAGAGTAAGACACGGAGATCACCTTCTTCCCCACAAATACATCAGAAATACATCTACATATGGAACTGATCCTATAAAACACCTACTGAACGCTGGCAGAAGACCTCAGACCTCCCAAAAGGCAAGAAACTCCCCACGTACCTGAGGAGGGCAAAAGAAAAATGAAAAAACACACACAAAAGAATAGGGACGGGACCTGCACCAGTGTGTCCCTGCACAGCAGGAGCTGTGAAGGAGGAAAGGTTTCCACACACTAGGAAGCCCCTTCGCGGGCGGAGACTGCGGGTGGCGGGGCGGGGGGAAGCTTCGGAGCCACGGAGGAGAGCACAGCAACAGGGGTGCGGAGGGCAAAGCAGACAGATTCCCGCACAGAGGATCAGTGCTGACCAGCACTCACCAGCCCGAGAGGCTTGTCTGCTCACCCACAGGGACGTGCGGGGGCTGGGAGCTGAGGCTTGGGCTTCAGTCGGATCCCAGGGAGAGGACTGGGGTTGGCGGCATGAACACAGCCTGAAGGGGTTAGTGCGCCACGGCTAGCCGGGAGTGTGCCCGAGAAAAGGTCTGGACCTGCCGAAAAGGCAAGAGACTTTTTCTTCCCTCTTTGTTTCCTGATGCGCGAGGAGAGGGGATTAAGACCGCTGCTTAAAGGAGCTCCAGAGACGGGCGTGAGCTGCGGCTAACAGCACGGACCCCAGAGATGCGCATGAGACGCTAAGGCTGCTGCTGCCGCCACCAAGAAGCCTGTGTGCGAGCACAGGTCACTATCCACACCTCCCCTCCCGGGAGCCTGTGCAGCCCGCCACTGCCAGGGTCACGTGATCCAGGGACAACGTCCCGGGAGAACGCACGGCGTGCCTCAGGCTGGTGCAATGTCACGCCGGCCTCTGCCGCCGCAGGCTCGCCACGCATCCGCACCCCTTCATCCCCCCGGCCTGAGTGAGCCAGAGACCCCGAATCAGCTGCTCCTTTTTAACCCCGTCCTGCCTGAGCAAAGAACACACGCCCTCAGGTGACCTACATGCAGAGGGGGGTCCAAATCCAAAGCTGAACCCGGGGAGCTGTGTGAACAAAGAAGAGAAAGGGAAATTTCTCCCAGCAGCCTCAGGAGCAGCAGATTAAATCTCCACAATCAATGTGATGTAACCTACATTTGTGGAATACCTGAATAGACAACAAATTATCCCAAATTGAGGAGGTGGACTTTGGGAGCAAATATATATATATATATATATATATATATATATATATATATATATATTTTTTTTTTTCCCTTTTTCTCTTTTTAGGAGTGTGTATGTGTAGGCTTCTGCTTCTGATTTTGTCTGTATAACTTCACTTTTACCATTTTTCCTAGGGTTCTGTCTGTCTGGCTTTATTTTCGTAGTTTTTTTTTTTTTTTTTTTTGCGGTACACAGGCTTTTGCGGAGCACAGGCTCCGGACGGGCAGGCTCAGCCGCCATGGCTCAAGGGCCTAGCCACTCCACAGCATGTGGGATCATCCTGGACTGGGGCACAAACCTGTGTCCCCTGCATCAGCAGGTGGACTCTCAACCACTGTGCCACCAGGGAAGCCCCTTTCTTTTTTAGTATAGATTTTAGTACTTGTTATCATCGGTGGATTAGTTTTTTGGTTTGGTTGCTCTCTTCTTTATTTCATTCTTTTTTTTTATTACTTAAAAAATATTTTTTTTTAATAATTAGTTTTTATTTTATTTTATCTTCTTCTTTCTTTCTTTCTTTTTTTTCTCCCTTTTATTCGGAGCTATGTGGATGACAGGCTCTTGGTGCTCCAGCCAGGCATAAGAGCTGTTCCTCAGAGGTGGGAGAGCTAAGTTCAGGACACTGGTCCACAAGAGACCTCCCAGTTCCATGTAATATCAAACAGTGAAAATTTCCTCGAGATCTCCATCTCGATGCCAAGACCCAGCTCCAATCAATGACAAGCAAGCTAAGGTGCTGGACACCCTATGGCAAACAACTAGCAAGACAGGAATACAACCCCATCCACTAGCAGAGAGGCTGCCTAAAATCATAATAAGGCCACAGACACCCCAAAACACACCACCAGACGTGGACCTGCCCACCAGAAAGACAAGATCCAGCCCCATCCACCAGAACACAGGCACTAGTCTCCTCCACC